GCACAAGTGTATTATATCTGGAGGGGGGTATTACTTTGAAGGGAACAACATTAATTTTGATGAATAAATACATATTTTTTGATAAAATTTAAAGGTCGCCTTACTTTTTGAACACACCTCGTAAGTTGTGGTTGGCACTTTTGAGGTCTTCGTAAGTGGCGGTGGCCTGTCAGGATTACCGACAGCCTTTGTTGTCATATTATAGAAAGAAGATATGTTTATCCATATTCTTATTTTCGTGAATTTTCGAAATTATACACACTTACCTAAATTTGAATCATGTTAGTGTGGTACTATCAAAAATTGCTATGAATTTCGGCTAGTGGCCTAGATGTTATCAATAAAACTTTAAAATGCAATGCGGTCTGTGTTCCTTCGGCAACATGTCTTTTCTACATTTTATTTACTTTAATATAATACCATAGACATCACGTATCACCATAGACATCCGTGGCCAAAGGACTGGAAATATCCGAAGTGGTTCGAAGCTGACATCTTAAAGTGACAATATGCACGTGCTTGATCCATACCATTATTGAATAATATTATATTAATAATTTCAAAGTTAAAAGTTAAATTTTATTATGTCAATAGAACATTAGCAACGTTGGATATGTTTAAATTAAAATCTGCCAAACCATGAATTTTTGAGTTATATACCACACGTAATTAATGAGATGGGATAGTCGAGTTTCGGAAACCGTTTGCCTCGTAATAACTTAATAGGCTTCCACACGATGTGGTTTTATTTGATAACGACCTCCCGGCGGCTGAGATTTACAGTCAAGCTTACGTCTTACTGCTTAATCGCGCAGTATCGGTAGTTTCAGTCAAATTAATTGTTGATCAGGTATAGATGCCGTTCCGAAGGTTCTACGCGGAATAATAATTGGCCAGAACAAGCAGTATTGATTTTAGTTAATTCAATTGTAGTTTTCCGATTTAGTTATGTCTGTAATTCCTTATTGACAGCCACTATCACAGATATTTCATAAAATTTTCTATCATTGTAGGTTTATTGGCATATACTAATAAAAAATGATTATATTTGGGGTGTTTTACCGTTGATGGTACCTTAGATGTTTACAACGAACGGTAAAATGAAAATTTGACTTCCATAAGCGGTGATGCTCTATCGATTTAAAACATTTTTAATACCATGTATATCATTGCATTTTCCAATCCGCTACTACTTTATTATTGCTTTTGAATAATAAATACAATATAATATATTTAGAGGTTTTCTAGAAATTAATTATTTTCTTTATTTTTCAACCAAAACATGGCTTCTATTAGATTTTTATTACTCTACTGTACATAATTTTTCATACACGGTTGGTCAAAACTAATAAGAATAAGAATGATAAGAATACCAGGGTGTCCTGAAAACTGCCATCCATACCCAGATACACACCAAAGCATTTACCTTGAAATATATGTTATCAAAAGTGTTGGAGATAAGCAGAAGCCCTGCTGGAGTCCTAATTATTCTGCATAACATTGGGGTCATTTTGATTTACGAGGTTTGTATGAAGGGAACTTATGGTGGTAACATGCTTGCAATATATCTATGGTCTGTTTAATAGCGAAGTTGTAGATGAAATATCGTTCATAACTATTGAGAAAATGTATTTTTCTCAGCTCATATCTTGGCCCAAAACAACTCCATTGCGAGAGTAAAAGTATCACTTTTCGGACTTCTAGATAAACACAGTTAACAACTAACTAACCAATTTTTATGTATTCTTATATGCAAAATAAAATTAAGACTTTTCCTATAATTCAGAACATCGAATTCTTAACGGTCAGGAAAAAGATGAACTTAAATGGCATATCATAAAACCTCTTTTTTAAACTGAAATCGAATACAAAAAATCCAACTCCACAAATATTTTTGGTGCTGCGTTAAATGTGAGACGCTTCCTACCGACAGATGCGTCTTTCGAATATTTTTACCTGTTCAGCAAACGTATCGGGTGGTTCTGGGATATCGCAAATAACCTTTGATATTGAAACCCACATTGTTAGCAGGGTCTTTGTTTCACAGTGAATATTAACAGATAAAATCAAGATATGCTTTCTCATTTTATAAAACTTCCGGATTCCTCCGGCACCGGTTTTTGTTGAGTCGATCTAGCTAAAGTTTCGCCAATCATCCTGATGGCTTCTTGAGAGCTTGACTGAACCTGGTTTTATATTGTTTCAGGGGGCGGAGCTAAATGAGGGGCATAAACATAAACATAAATAACAACAACACCACATACATAAAACAACAACAAATAAAATGTGAGCCAGTGTCAGTCAAGCTCTGAAGAAGCCAACAGAATTCGACTCAACAAAAACCGACGCAGGAGGAATCCAGAAGTTTTATAAAAAGTATTGGAAGTTTTTTTGAAAAATTATATTTTTTCCCCATGATTTCGAAATACGCATACAAACACCATGAAGGCACTCGCGCTAGGAGTTTATTTTTGAATTATGATTGATTAAGCAGTTTTCATTATTTCTGAGGTCAAGTTGTTAGTATTAATAGTCTTTTGCGAACACTAAACGCAGCTTGTATAGACTTTCCAACACTTGGAGAGAACTATTAAGCGAATTTTGTATCTAATCAATAAGAACCTTTTGTGACAAGAGTTGGCTCATTGCTTTGACGAAAGTAAATCGTCCATTATTGGAAAACGCAATGGCAAATGATTTCAATGTTCTTTCAATGGTCTATATAACAAAAAAGCTTCATTTCCAAAGTAGGTTACTATTATCGATGTACTAACACAAAATTCCTGACTCGTAGGTGACTCCTAGATCCCCAATCGATTAACTTCGCCTTTAATAAAATAGTTAGTCTAATATGAACTCATAGAATGAGTTAAATCCGTTTGTTCTTGTTTAAGAATTTGGCTTGCTATCTAAAAAAAAAATAAAATATTAAACTATTTAGACTCATTGTGAGCATTGCTTTCTTTTTACCATTTTATTTGGCCCGCCAAGTTTAGACTCTGCAAATCTGGCAAAAATTAAATTTTTATGTCTTGTCAGAAGTAATTACCAATATTAGCTACTAATTTTGACTATTTTCTTTTATTTTAGTATTGCTGGTCTATTATCTTGGGTGTTTCGTTTTCTCTTGGAACGTGGTAATTCAAATATCAATTTTTAAGCGGAACAATGCTTAAAAATTAATTGAAAAAATTCCGGAGCGGAAAATGTCTCAATTTCCTGCGTTTATGCTGCGAATATCTCATTAAAAAGCAGATGGAAAGTCCAACAAAGCAGGGAGCACGACGGAGCATTTCATTAAAAAAATCACACGCACTCTGAAAATGAGGTGGGGTGTAAACCTTTTTGGTGTTATCACCCGGTGTCTTGTTTAAAAATTGTAGCGCACAATTCTAAAGGAAAGAGTCTTTCGGAGAATGCAGGAAAAACCATCTGCCATTTTAATCACCAAATAAATTGTTTCTTTTTAAAAATCGGTACATCATTTAATTTTAAGTATCCTTTAACTTACTATTCGATCTAAAAACAATTTTTAGTTTCTAACCTGTTTAGGATCGGTGCTTGTGTGAACAGAATAACTTCCGCAACGTGGTGTATTAAACATGAAACTTTCTAATATCGAAAATAAGCAGGTTAAACATAAACAGCTCAAAACTGAAGTAACAAACCCAACAGGACGTTTAATGTTTTTCGATCGATTAACACTTCCAAAAAGTCTTGTGTTTACAGAGACTTCCTCACCGCGTTGCGTACTGTGAAACTCAAATATAAACATATACTTTTTTAAAATACCTTTAAGAAAGTCCATACATAGCAAATACAGCACAAAAGAGAAAGTAGACACATATTATTTCTATGTATATGTCCATATTGTAATAACATCATTAATTGGGCAATATGTCAGTCAGCTCAATATAGATTAATAATTCCAAAGAATCTGTAATAATCCTTATCATTGTTTACGATATAAGGAAATTTTGAAAAAATGATTTTAAAATCAATATATTATTGTACCAAAGAAGTACAGCAGTCCAAGTGCAACCTGCCCAGGAAAATCCAGGAAGACTAGGAAACCTTGATGTCGATACAAAATATGCCACTTGAAGGAGTCGAGCTAGACTGTAAAAAACTGTAATAGTAATGGAAAAAGTATAAATGCCAAGAGCATTTATTTGAGAGCGATGAGATTGTGGGCGAAGAAAATACTTGAAAAGCATAAAGAAAACAAAATATTTTATATATGGGAAGTGAATTACTGACAAGAGAAACAATTAAAAGTTCTCATGAAGATTTCATGGGGCCCGTCGACAAAGAGAAGACTAATGCTATCTAACAGAGCATATTTGAAGGGAGATTATCGCGGGAACATGACTGAGAACTACTTTGGAGAAGGATATCTTCTCACTGACTAGTGATTACGAACATTCACGACGCATAGAAAAATACCAGCTATGTATTGGAGAAAACAAATATCTACAAATATTAAATTGAATGTAATAATGTAAAATCAGTGTTAATACTATAAGGGGGGCATCCAGCTTTTTCCAAAATATCATTCTGATATTGTATTTTTTCTTTTTATTACATTTAAAATTATTATTTCTTATAATAAATAATTAATTTTTATATTTATATTATTACACAATATCGTATATTATTTTGTAGTCCATTAAATAAATTATAATATAATTATGAAATTAGATTGTTAGAAAAATGAAATTTATTTTTTAAAGGGGGGCGCAAGTAGAAAAAGATTTAAAACCACTACTGTAAGTTATTTTCTTTTTGTATTATTTTTAAATAACCAAACTACCTAAATTGATGTACATTAGATGAAAAAGACAATTTTACGTGCTAAACAATTGAATTCGTATAAATTATTGGTGTATTGTCCACCTGCCTCTTTGCTGAAAAACCTTACTTCGTGGCCGATTTTAGTTTTTAATTTTGATTCACCCAATATAACACCCAAAGTTAATACGCTATCTTTTTGTTTCCAGAATAGTCCTGCAAAAATTCCCAGGACCCATGCCAGCCCGGAGGGGGCTGTTAGCGCCCCAAAACACATTTCTCGATACTATAGCGACGCGATTCGACGGAACTCGTAAGTACACCTACGTCGTTGAACCTCCGAATGTATCATAAACGCAAAATAACTTCGATGCTCATTAAATTGGTTCGTATATTTAGTTGACATGACGCGATCCGCCCGAAATAATGAACTCACCTAAGTTTGATGTTGCAGTAATAGAGTTTCTATTAATAATACATATAATGCATTACAAATGCGGGTTATGGACCTCTTATATTTAAGATGCAACTTTTCGTGCGTCATCACTTCGACCAATAAAATGTTTTAGAACAGAGATACGATTGAGTTCGCTAACCTTTTCCGATGATAATTCCAGTCGCAAACCGGTTTAGTTACAAACAGGTAATTTTTTTGACCTAATATGTATATGGAATAGGTTTTGTCACATATAGCAGGACAAATTTCCCGGTGATTTACGAAATGGGCACCAAATGTGGCATTTTACATATTTTCAACGAAATGCAGCTGCCTGTATTGCCGGTTGATTAAAAACGGCTGTTATATGTATATTCTTTGACAAACGACCTCTCAAAAGTACTTGCGATTAACAGGTCAGTGTCCTCTTTGTTATGATGTTTTGATGGATTTACAGGTTTCATCCGTTCGACTTAGCGATGCTCCGTTGGGTTTAGATTTTGCTGAGTAATGCACGTCGCAGTTTATGCCGGGTTTGAATAAATTGAATTCTCGAAAGCGGTGATTTTATAGCAAGAAAATCTCGTATTTCGGTCTACTTGAAACGGGGCATTTTATCTTATGTTATGGAAAAATGCATTTTTGGCGATAAAACTTAAATTCGGTAACTTAAAGATAATTCTTGTTTCGAATGATTTCACTCTAACGCAACTCTATTGTCTATTGATGTACAGAACTTATTTCTCAGTATTCCTCCTATGCATGTGATAGATTTAGTAGATTTCACCCTATCTCGGAAACAGGTTAATCCATTGGTGAAACAAGATTTATTAGATTGATTTATAGTATCTTTAGACCAAAATTATTTTGAATTTAATGGACAGATTTACATCTCTAAGGAAGGTCTGATTATGGGACACCCACTTAGTCCTTTGTTAGTCGAGATTTTTATGGATAATTTGGAAAATATCATACTCGAACATCCTTTAAGTAAAAGTTTTCTAGGGTGGTATAGATACGTGGATGATGTCTTTGCTTGCTTTGTTGGAACCGACAGACAATTGAATTCTTTTTTAAATTACATTAACGCATTACATAATCGTATAAAATTCACTATCGAGATTGAACAGGACAACTCTATTAATTTTTTAGACTTTACTATTATGAAAACGCAAAATAAATTAGGATTTTCCATTTATCATAAACCTTCACAAACGGAGACAGTCATACATAACAGCTCAAATAACCGCTATACACAGAAAATGGCTGCATTTCACTCTTTTATACACAGACTTCTTAATACGCCACTCTCAATAGAAAATTACAACAAACAACTTAATATCATTAAACAAATTGCACTGAACAACGGCTACAATCCTTCCATTATAGATAAAATTATAAATAAGAAACGAATCCAGACAACAGTAAACTCTATTTATCCGAAACCTAATAGTGATCTTTCTCGTCCATGCATAATATTTCGAAAATTACCCCAAACCTTTGGGATTTAATTTATAACTATGGAAATATTTAATTATAATTTTGGGATTCCAAAAACAAAAAAACCGCAATTGAATCACAAAAGCTGTGCAAACAGGATGTTCCCAAACTGCACATTTGCTTGCTAAATTTAATATATATATATATATATATATATATATATATATATATATATATATATATATATATATATATATATATATATATATATATATATATATATATATATATATATATATATATATTTGTCGCCTTGTTAATTTCGCCCAATCGTAGTTGCGACATCCCGAAATTAACAACGCGATTCGGGGGGCGGAGCCACAAGCAGCACCGTTACCATCTCCCGCGCAGGGTATAAATAACGCACGCACCGCTGATAACCTCCCAGTGTTCGAAGTGTTTTCGGAGCGCGAGCATTGAAGATGCCAAGTGAGATTTTGGCGAAACGTCTGCAGGATTCCAGTCGGATGCAAGATTTGCAGGATTCCAGTCGGATGCAGGATTCCAGTCGGAGTTCAACGAGCGAACGGATGATATCCCGGAATATAGTGTCATCACATTTTTCCATCCGTGAATCAATACGTGAAAATATATATATTTTTTTTGTACAAAATATTTTTCAAGATAATTTAACAGTAGAATTTTATTTTTTATATTTTTAAAAGGAAAAGAGGTACCTATCAGTTTCAAAAAAATAAATGTTATTTTCAAAATTCCCGTATATGATTTTAAAATATTATAGTAATTAAAAAAGCCGCTTCCAAAGTGACCGTTAATTATTTGCATTGCATTTTCAATTGTCTTTTTGAGTAATTTGTGGACGTAGACACTCTAGACTCATTCCAAATTGCCATTTCGCCGGTCTTTCGCGGTACAGACGTCTCCGACGCTACCTAATCGTCTTTACAAATAACCGCAGCGCATTGTTACAACGAATGCATTGTAATCTGGCATTTCGCAACCGTAGACAGAAAATAAATTAAAAATACTCGCCGAAATATCCGCGAATAAGGATAAAATCTGGCCAGACAGAAGTAGGAAAAATTTCCATCCCCCGGATTTTATGGCCCCCCTCTCGGTTATTCTGAAATGAAATTTGGTGCATTCCTCTCTATATGGTCGAGAAAGTTTGCCTTTTCAAAATATTAATAACGCCCATCGCGTAATGAAAATGAAGGAAATTTCGTATTGTACCGTTTTCTTCAATTTTCGGAAAATAGTTAATGTAGCTGAGAATGAATGCTTTTAAAATGTTTGGGGCATTTCAGTGTTGCCATATCTATTCAAGCTATACACCAACTCTATTATTTTAAATGGTATGTCCTATATCTGTCAGTTTTTTAAATATACTATATGCGCAAAATATAGATGCATAATATTTCTAAAATTATCCCAGACTTTTCAATTTAAAATATAGCTATGGAAATATTTTATTATAAGTTAACTATTTCACACAAAATTCCAAGTAAATTTGCTTGTTATTAAATTTTATAAAAAGACATCTATGCAAGATTAATTATAGCTGTTTTGCGTTGGCGGAAGAAAATCCAGAGGTAGACCGTCTTGGAGGTGGATAAATTGCTGGACATCCTGGTGATGAGAGGTTTTACTATCATATAAAGTGATGAAAGTCTACCAGAAGATCTAAAAGTATTATAACAAACCATACCAACCAAACCTACTTTGAACTGTTGTAGAATTAAAAGGAAAAAACTAGAATATTGCAATGTAGGCAAACTGTCTTAGAAATAAGCCATGGCGATATATTTTGACAATTGAGTTAAATAGTATCTATCAAACAATTTATTATGAGATTTTGTGTCATTTCAAATCATATATAAACAACGATTGATTAATATAACAAACAAAATCGGAGTTTTTGTGACCCAGAAGTGTGTTTCTCCTTTTTTTGTATTTTGTTTTTTTTTGTATTTTTTTTGTATTTTTTTTGTATCCCCTTGATATTTTATCAAAATCTGAGGCTGAGTCTTTAAGATGAATAATTTGTAGTGTTATTGACTGATAACTGTGCATTTTATTTATCGTTAAAACTCGCTCTATTGTTTATTTATGGCACTGTTTCTGCTCCCATCAGGACATGTTATAGTTTTTCTTCTTAATTTACTGCATATGAATTCGCAATATCAAGATATGAAACATAAATTAATAAATAAAATAAATTGCTAAAATTGGATTATTCCAGTTTTTTGATTTTAACTCCAAAATGGTTTGAAATAGGTAAGGTATGTTATGATGGTTTTAGATCGCCAATGAAGCATTCTTTTTATTTCCCCAATAAAATTCATTTAAAATTAACGTTTAACTTATATTTATATATTTTGCAAAATGTGCATAAGTTTGGCAAGTCGCTAACGAAAGAGACAAAACTAAAATGGTTGGAAGATAGTTCATTATTTCCATGGTGGATGCTTTTCGCAATATTTTCTAAAAAATAAAAGAGCTATGTTCAAAATTTTTGATAGAATGTCCTAGATTTTTTTAAACTGAACGTCATAGCCTCATATGACTGCAACCCAATTTTTAAATCTTTTTCCATTCTTTATATATTTCTAATAAGCGGGCGAGGTTTGGGGAACCCTGTCCAAAATTACTTAAATTTTGGCGAAATTCTATTATCTATTTAAGTGTCATGTTGTTTACTTGTCAATTGCATCTTTTTTCGGGATTATTGGCTCTTTTCTCGAAAATTACTACGGGAAACTTGTACCCGAACTTTAAAACCGAATTGTTGAATTAGGAAAATCAGATTTAATTAGTGCCAAGCTGTAAACTTTTAAGCTGTTTCTGACAGACAGCTTTGGTGCTAGTCTCGGTTATCGAGAAAACTTTTAAATTCAAATGAATTTAATTAAATTATTTCTTTGCGTTTACGAAAATTTAAAAATAGGCAATAAAACCACAATCGACTCAAAAATCATAGATTCTGACTGTGCGGTTATATCTTTAGGATTTTTTAAAAAAAGAAATTGAATATTGAAGTAATTTATTTAAAATGAAAAATATATTTAAAATTTAAATCGATGATTTCTGCAACCGACGATCCTACGTACAAATATTTTTTGCTTATTCGCAGTTTGATTAATAAATATTTAAACGTAAAACCCAAAAAATCACATACAATATTCATTATAATTAATTGTTCATAAATAATAATTAATACGAACATTTGCATACAACTTAGTGAGCAAGTTTTTAAACATTTTTTTTTCTGCTTTATTTGGATAATGCCCAGTAGCAAGAAATCGAATTTGTTATTGGTCGATATGTGAATTAAGTAAATAGCTCAAGACGGAAATAGCCTTTCTTGGAAATCATTGCAAATTCCTAAAACAACATTGAACATTCGGTCGCTGAGG